CAGATTCTCCAGCATCTGCAGTTCCTACTATCTCTCACTTAACTGTGCTACCTTATGATTGGAAACAGCAGAGAGAAATTTGTAGAATTAATGTGTGCCGCTGCCCTGTGCTTTCACAAAACTGCCTTTGCCAATATGAATTATACGTCCTGTAGCTGTGAGAAAAATGTTGCCTTGGTTTGCTAAGGTCTCCCACAGACCTAGTTCATGGGTTCATGTCCCTGGCATTTGTGGACTACACGGATGTGCCATAACCTTTGGTGACCATGAATACAATCCCATTAATTTGCGCCTATCACTGATACCAAAAAAATGACAATGTGTTCTGTTATCAATGATGGATGAATCCAGCAGATGCTGAAAATATCCGAAATGAGAGCCTGGCCAGTGTTGCTGTATCTGGGCTTCAAAAACTAGTTGTCAGTCCTTATGATTTGAAATTCTTTGATTGCTCTGGGTGCAGGTTTAGTATAGTGACCGGTAAGACACAGTTTCAATTCCTGATCTAACCTGGGTTTTATGATTAGCCACAATAAACCTGGGTGAGGGCAGTGAAAATGTCAGTCAGGATTCGATGACAAAGTTTGTTTTCAAACGCACCACGGAGGTACAAATAGTACTGAGTATTTGGAGTCTAAAATTGGATGAACTACTTTGTAACCTTGCACCCTTGACCTGAAAAGAGTTTTTCATATGGAGTAAAAGCAGTACTTTGCGGAGATTGTGCAAATCTGTTGCTGACCTTGACTTAGATCTTGCTGAAAAGAGGATAGATACTTTTTTTGAACCAGCAAGGAGACAAAATGAGTGACAATCGATTCATGCTAAGCTTGTCCATCTCCTGATGGATGATTAATTGTTGTCTTTGATGGTCTAAGTCACTCTGCAGCCTGCTCTCTGGGGAGGGATGCTGTGTTTGCAAATCTCAGTGTAAAATAAAATAAATTTACCTGATTAAAATAATATTCTCCTGAGACCTGGGAAAGTAACTTTTATTTTGACATGTTTACTGTTAAGAATTTGTCATCACAAGTTACCAGATAACTACATCAATTCCAGTGTTCTATATCTTTTTAAATACAATTCACTTTTCAAACTAGAAATGGAAACAGCTATCAAGATTGCAGCGGAGCCTAATTGCATTCCTGTTTGTCTTCATGGTTGTTTGTGGTATTGCAGCATACCCTAACCTGTCTGAACGATGGCAAGGTAGGAACCCTCCCAGCCTTTTGGACTGGAGTTTTTCTTATGCTGCCAGTTTGAGCACGGTTCCACAATGATAGGACAATTTTGCTTAAAGGTATTGAGGTGATAATGATGCAATTTTTTTATGTTAGGCGTATGTTCAGGGGAAATGTATGCAATTGAGTTCAAACAGAAGCAAATATAAATACTCAGCAAGTCAGGCTGTATCAGTGGAGGGAGAAACAGAGTTAATGTCATAACTTTTGGTTAGAGCTTGAACATTGGCCTTGATTTTGCATGAAGTAGTATAGTAAGGTTAGCAGTGCTCATTATTGTTATTATTATAGAGTAAATGTGACAGCAACTTCCTGAGCCTGTGTATGTGTGTTTAAAAATGGAAATCCAAAATATTGTAGCCTGAGTTAAAGCACATCCTGTGGAGGAATACATATCAGCCCTAGCTGCAGAAACAATGCTGAAATCAATGCAGCAGGTGAAGTTTGGGATACTGATTCAGTAGTTACTGACTAAACACACTAGAAAATGTTGGGGCAAGTGTCTTCATGTATAAGTGAATTTTGAATGCCATGCTTGTGGTAAGTGCTGTCAAACAACTCCTCTGTCCCTGATAAATTGATGTTGCCAAGTTCTTCAGAATTTTCTTAATGTTGGAGATTTTAATTTTTACTATTCCTTCTGCCTTTTGTATATCTGTCCCTTATTTCTGTTTTTTTCTCAATCTTTGTTTTGCTTTATGTGCCAATTCTAACATTAAATAAAATTAAATTCTGTTTCCTCGGTTTTGGTTTTACTGTCAGGGGTAATGTATCCCCTGATGTGGGTTCTATCCTAGAAATGGTCATGAGATGAGATGGTGAAAATTCATATTCAAAGCTTCATCGAAGGCTTGTAGGGATCTGTTAGCATGATAAATCGCAAGCTCTGCTGCTTCACTGACTGCAAACTGTTAACTCTTTTTCTCTCTCTCTCCATTGATGCTGCCCGACCTTCTGAGTATTTCCAGCATTTTCTGTTTTTAGTTCCAATTTCTGTAACATTCTTTAAATATATTAAGGGAGAACGTCTTGAGGCCATTGCTGTTCTTTCCTCTCCATTGTTTGCATTTAGCTTCTTGAACTGGTTTTAACTTCCACAGCCTGAACTTTTGCAGTGCGTTTAGTCTGCTGCTGCAGACTAAACTCCATTGGCAGCAGGTTTTACTTTTAGCTCAGCTGTGAAAGGTTAGACTAGCTGATAAGTGGCCCAGAAGGTAGATTTGTGCAGACTGAATAATAGTGAAATGTTAATGCAGCCTACTCTTAATGTGAAAGTGCTTACTTGAAACTGTCTGTTAAATATGTGTTGAACTCATTTGCAAAAAGGCCCTCCTGTACATTTTATTAACATCACTGAAATCTGCTGTAAAATTTTGAATTATTTATGCAAAAAAACACAAAATTCAAATTAAAAGAAATTAATTATAATATATTTCCCTTCATTTCTTTTTTCTTTCTGTGAGGCCCATAGTGGTTGGCTGTAGTCGTTTGTTCTCATGTTGATTTTTTTTTTTTGTAAGTTTTTGTTTCTTGCCCCTTTGGTAAATCATTCTGTTTGGCATCTCCTCATAATTGCACTGACTGAAGTCATGAATGGGAAAGTTGCAAATTCCAAATCTTGTTATAACTGTTTGCTACAGCACGCTGGGGGCTTGACTGTATCATGTTATACCAGTGGTGTCTCTGAAGAAAAGGCTGTCCTTTGTACCATTAACAAAATGAAGAAAACAAGTCAACAAATGCTGAAATGTTGCAAATGATGTGCATCGGCTCCACCTATTTGATTTTAACACATTGCAATTTTCTCATCCCATCAGGCCTATTGAAGAAGCATTTAGCACACTTGTCTTCATTGCTCAGTCCTTTGAGTATAAGAGTTGGGATGTCATGTTGAGGTTGTATAGGACATTGGTGAGGCCTCTTCTGCAGTACTGTGTCCAGTTCTGTTGCCCTATTAAAGGGAGGATATTATTAAGCTAGAGAGGTTCAGAAGAGATTTACTAGGATGTTGCTGGGTATGGAAGGTTTGACTTATAAAGAAAGGCTGGATAGACTAGGACATTTTTCCACTGGAAAGTAGGACGTTGTTAGGTGACCTAACAGAGGTTTATAAAATCATGAGGGGTATAGATAATTTAATGGTGGATGTCTTTTCTCTGGGGTGCAGGGATTTCAAGACTGGGGGCATATTTTAAGGTGAGAGGAGAGAGATTTAAAAAAGACATGGGGGGCAAATTTTTTTACACAGTAGGTGGTTTGTGGGTGGAATGAACTTCCAGAGAAAGTAGAGGATGCAGCACAATGACAATGTTTAAAAGACCGTTAGTAAGTACACGAATAGGAAAGGTTTGGAGGAATATGGCCAGGAGCCGGCAGGTGGGATGAGTTTAGTTTGGAATTGTGTTTGGCATAGACTGGTTGGACTGAAGGGTCTGTTTCCTGCTGTATGGCTTTATGACTCTGAGTGCTACTTTTTGTTGCCAGGGTGGGGAATGAATTGAATGGCAATTCTTCTCAGCAGTCAGGTTTGAATGTAAATTGGTAGGGAGTCAGGCATAGGCCACGTGCCTCAACTCTGTCAGTGCATCAAGTACTTTGTTCTGTTTAACATCTCCTCTGAGTCTGACTGAATGGAATCATGAGGGGGAAGCTGCAAGTATCCAGTCAAATGCAAGGGCAACCTCATGAGGTGCAAACCAAACAATTCACAAGAATCCAAGGCATGTGTGTTCATACTGTTATTAGTTTACACAGAATTAATCTTTATGGCCAAACAAGTGTGATGTTTATGAAGCCCATGTGTAGCTTTTGAAAAGTAAATCTTATCTATTTCTTCCTTATTTTCCTCTCCTGTAGTCTCCCTGCACCACACATCCAGCCCGGCCAAGAGGACGGGATGGAGACCTACTCCCATGCCTCTGCTAAAGCACTGTAGGATCGTCATCTGACAGTAACGGGGTACTGTAGAAACTTTTACCTCACAGCACTTTGTGAATGCAGGCCTTGAAGTTTGGAAATAGTCTGACGTATCACCATTAACAACAAATGGTAGCAAACTAATCCCCAGATGCTGTTAATTTCTGTTTTGCTAAACTATATTCCCTTGAAAGGGAAAAGTGAGTTAAACAAATCTGGATCTCCCTAGATGCTAAAGGAGATGGAAATTATGTTAAAGAAGAAAGAGTGTGGTTATGACCAGCGTCAGGTAGAAAATACAATTGATAGCCAAGCTGAGTTCAAAAAGTTCAGAAGGGAGGTGCAAAAGGCAAATAAGAGAAGTGAAGAGGAATTATGAGAAAGGACTGGCATTCAACATGGAGCAACCACAAAGTCTTCTAAAAGCACATGAATGGTAAAAAGGTGGCAAAAGGAATAATCAGGCCAATTAGGGACCAAACATAGGCTTTACACATGGAAGCAGAAAGTGTGGCAGAGGTATTAATTGAATACTTTGCATCTGCCCCGGTCACGGTGACAGAGGAGGAAACTCTGTGCTCGGTGCTTAACGTTGATAGGGCGCTAGGACTAGATGAGATGCATCCACGAACATTTGAAGGAAGTGTGAGTGGAAAATGCATAGACACTAAAATCTTTCAATTTTCTCAGGATTTGAAGAGAGGGAGGGGCAAGATGAGTTAATTTGGAAGAGCCAGCATGGATTTGTTGAGGGAAAATTGAATCCAACTAACTTGCTGAATTTTTTGAGAATGTAACAGAGAGTTGATGAGGACACTTCTGTTAATGTTGTGCACGTGGCCTTCCATAAGGCGTTTGATATAGTACCACTCAATAGACTGTTGAGAAAAGTTAGAGCTTGTCGAGTAAAAGGGACAGTAGCAACATGGACACACAATTGGCTCAATGACAGGAAATAGTAGTGGTTAATGGGTATTCTTCAAGAATAGTTCAGGATGAAGTTTTGTAATAGAGTACCACATGGGCCCCTTTTTTCAAATATAATGATCTGGACGTTAGAATGCAGAAGACAGTTTCAAAGTTTGCAAATAGTATAAAACTTTGGAACATTGTTAACTGTGTTGAGGGCAGTGTAGAACTTCAAAGGACATTGACATGTTGATTGAGTGAGCAATAGGCAGCAGCCAAGTTCACTGTGGAGCATACAATTTTTGGTACCAAGAACGTGGAGAGCAGTATTAAATATGGGACAACTATTTCAAAGGATGTGCAGGAATAGAGAAATCTTGGTGTGTACATGTATACGTCTTTAAAAATAGCAGCACATGTAGAAGGAGCAGTAAGTAAAACAAACAGTATTCTAGGCTTCAATAGTAGCCATTGGAGGACAGGTTCAAGGAACCACTTGTTCCTGTATTCCAATGAAGGTACTGCATGCACATTCTCTTTTCTTTCTTCATGTGCTTTTCTGTAACTGTTTAAAGCTTTATGCAGTTACAGATCAGGAGCTGTACTTAATTAAAGGAAGGGTGCTCAGTTTAAGTTATTGAAATTTTACATTGCTGTGCTTAATGCAAAGTTGGTAAATGTTCCTGATTAATAACACAATTTTATTATACCAAAAGAATTGAAGCCTTATTGTCATATGACATGCTAGTGAATGAATACTTGTCTTTTGTGCATGTCATCCCCAGTTTTCTTATGTCAAGGAACTCGGATAAGGGTTTTTATTTGCAGTATTTCTTTTCATATCCCATGGTTCTAGCAGTGCATAGTTCACGTGCAAGTCCAAAAAAAATTTTCCTCGGATCATCATGTGATTGTCATAGAATTACAAACTTCAGTGAATATAGATTTGGGATTGATGTGTTTGTATTCTATCCTGCCTGAATTTCTCAATAATGGCCAGTTTCCTTTGTTCTGCCTTACTCACCTGTATGATATTTCTATGCATTCTTAATGGACTTCAATTAACCATCAAATCTCAGAGGAATTTTAAATAAAGTTAAGTGAAATACAGGGCATGTACAAAAACATACACAGAGCAGTGAGTTTGCAATTACGACATGCATTCTTAACGGCTAAAGATGGTCAGTACTCTTGTTTGCTTGCTAAAAGTTGATTGTAGCTTGTGTTGTTTATCTACCTTTGTATTAGAAAATACTGTGATATTTCAGGAAGCGAGGGCATAGGGAGGAATTTGATTTTACCTCTGCCAAATAAGCTTCTCTGTGAACTAAAGTGCATCAGTATTAAAATTAGATTCGATCTTTTCCATGCCTTTCTAACTTTTACATATTTTATATTAGAATATACTACAAAGGTATTTGCAACTTTTTTCCTGGCAAAGTAGCACAATATATTTATTAATTGTAATCTTAAAGATGTTGACATTCGGATTTGTAGATGTAAATTGCACAGTCTTTGACAAAATGGTTTGTGAAAACATGGAGCATCACTGGCATAATCCCTGGAAGACTTCAGTTTGCGAAATATTGCTCCTGTGGTATATAAATTGAGAATTTGCAATTGGTCATTTCATGTGTAGTTTTAAGTGGTGGAGCAAGGGAAATATTTTCTTAATTAGCATTAAGGAGCAGCCATCCTTATTATGGTCAATGTCAAGTAACAACAGAAGTAGTTATCTTTGAAACCCTGCTGCTGCTTTCCTGTGTTTGCTGCAGTTTTCCTCTCTCTCTAATTTACTTGTTTCCCTGGCAACAATGAATGTCATTTTGGGACTGGGTGACTGCTCAATTTCAGGAGCTGTTGGCTTGGATTAGTTCTAAGATTGGCACTGCCTCAGTTGACCAACTTGAGCATCAAACATCACAAACAATTCGTTGAGATTAATTTTTCAGCAATGACAAGTTCAAACGTTGAAGTGTGAGACTGTGCCTTGGTTTTCCGGGGAGTATACGTAATGGATTGTACTAAAGCTTGTTAAAATGTTAAAAGCATGTTTATTTGTGTTTTGCAGTTGAAAGTTACCACAATGGAGAGTTGAAGCAAGCTGAGCCAGCAGTTGGCCCAAGAGTGGCTGTGCTATTACCCAAGGCACCGGCTATCACACAGCCACAGGTAACTGAACAACCAGTTAGAAGTGGTTGTAATCAAATCTCGCATTAAGTTTATTATGGCTACTTTGAGTTTCACAGAATATTGGACATAACCAAGGCTATTTGTTTGAGTTGTAAGTACTGATGATGGCAGAAAACTGTCTTGGAGAAGATAGTGAACTAGTCAGAGGAACTAAATTACCAGTTGAGTCTTTAAAAAAACCCCAAGGTTACTCACTGCCTAGCATGTAACTCACATTCAGTAAAAGGATTTATTTCAAAGTATAGGAAAGTGAAAACTATCAGCTTTATTTCCTTGTCATATTAAGTGTTTTTTCCTTGGGGCACAGAAAATAATTGGGTGCAGGGCCTCAGTATTTATCGCCAGGAGTGGCTTGGTAGCACTGAGCTGGCCGAGTTGTGAAGGGCATAGCTGCCTGACTGGACTGGTGAACAAGTCTCCTGATTCCTTCATTCTCACCCCTCGTGGATGATGGAATCCATGGCAATGTCAGGAAGAATGATAATCTCCCAGTTTTTGAGGCGACGAGATCTTGTCTTCACACTTGAGGGCAGTTTCCTTCTTGTTACTTTGCATTATCATTGTGCTAAATAGGACAGGTTCAGATTGATCTAGCAGCTCATAATTGTGCATGTATGAGTCGTTAGCAACAGTAGCACTGTAGTCTGCCACAGAATGTATTTTTCACTTTCCAAAATTTGAATGGTTCTGGTTCAAGGAGAATTTCAAAAAAATACATGCTGGAAGCAACACCAGGCATACCTAAAAATACTAGTCTGCCTGGCAATGTAGTAACACAGAATTAAATGCATACTAGAACTGGAGTCAGCATGCATTTGGCCAATCTGAGTGATCCCACAATGAACAGATCATTTAAAGCTCAGTAGTCTTGCCTCATCAAGTTGTCAGTTCTGGTGGGGATTTAAACAACTGATGACATCCCCCTCCTCAATGACAGTCCAGCCAGTGGGTGCATGCGTAAGACCAGCATGAAGCAGTAGCAGCCACCCTCAGCCAGAAATGCCGAAAGGGTGATTCATCTCGGCCTCCTTTCCCCGCTATTACAGAAACCAGACTTCAGCCAATTCAGTTCATTAATGTCATATCAAGAAGCTGCTGATTATACTGGATATGGCAAAGGCTATGGGTCCTGGTAAGTCCTTAGCTGCAGTGCTGAAGACCTGTGCTCCCAAACAAGTTACTTCTAATCAAGTTGTTCAGTACATCTGCAACATTGGCACGTACCCATTGAAGTGGAAAATTGTCCAGTCCACAAAAAGCAGGACGAATCCAATCCATCCATTGCTGTCCTATCAGCTTGTTCTTAATCATCAGCGAAGTAATGGATGGTATTATCAATAGTGCTATCAAGTGGTGCTTACTCAACAATGAGCTGTTTACTGAAACTCGATTTGGTTTCTGCCTGGACTACTTAGTCGCAGACCATGTCTCAGCTGTGGTCCAAACGTACACAAAAGATAGTTGAGCAGAAATTCAAATAAATCAACCATATTAATGTATTGGGACAGCAAGAGCAGATCAGAGGCTGGGTATGGGCCAATGGGCCAAGGAGTGGCAGATCGAGTTTAATTCAGATAAGTGTGAGGTGTTGCATTTTCGTAAGGCAAGGTAGGGCCCTGGAAGTGTTGCCGAACAAAGAGACCTGGGGTTTAGTTGCATGGTTCCTTGAAAGTGGAGTCACAGGTAGACAGGGTGGTGAAGAAGGCATTTGGCATGCTTGTCTTCATTGTTAAGAACATTGAGTATAGGAGTTGGGACGGAATATTGGTGATTTTAGTGTACATTTTTAGCGTACTTTTTACAATTCAAGTCCCCCATCTGTAAGAAGGATGTTGTTAAACTGGAGAGGATACAGAAAAGATTCACAAGGATGTTGCTGGGACTGGAGGGTTTGAGTTATAAGGAGAGGCTGAATAGTTTGCGGCTTTCTACCCTGGAGTGTCGGAGGCTGAGGGTTGACCTTACAGAGGTTTATAAAATCATGAGAGGCATGGATAGGGTGGAAAGCTAAGGTATTTTTCCTGTGGTGGGGGAGTCCAAAACCAGAGGGCACAGATTTCAGGTGAGAGGGGAATTGTTTAAAAAGGATGTGAGGGATAACATTTTCACGCAGAGGGTGGTGCGTGTATGGTAGGAGTTGCCAGAGGAAGTGGTGCAGGCAGGTGCAATTACAACGCCTAATAGGCATCTAGATGGATGTATGAATAGGAAGGGTTTAGAGGGATATGGGCCAAATGGGACTAGTTGAGATTGGGATATCTAGTTGTTGAGGATGAGTTGAACCGATGAGTTAAACCAGTCTGTTTCAGTGCTGTATGGCTCTATGACTCTGACTGTAAGTAACTCAGCTCTTGTCTTCCTAAAGTCAGTCCGCTAGCTGCAAGGCACAAGTCAGCAGTGCAATTGATGGAATAATCTTCACTTATCAGAATGAATCCTGCTCCATCAACACTTAAAAAACTCGTCATCCAGAACAAACTATCTTGCTTGATCAGTACCCCATCCATAATCTTAAAGGTTCACTCCCTTCAAAACCAGTGTACAGTGGCAGCAGTATATATCATCTCCAAGATGAACTGCAGCAACCTGTCGATGTTTCTTTGACAGCACCTACAAAACCTGTGATCATTACTAATTGGGAGAACAAGCCAGCAGGTACTAGAATATTGCCATCTATAAATTTGACTCCACCTTGACTTAGGAAATATAGATGTTTGTCAGGTGACTCTGGATCAAAATGCTGAAGCTCCCAGTTGAACAATGCTGCAAATACCTTCATCACATGGGCTGTATTAGTTCTGCAAGGCAGCTCACTACCACCTCCTCCAGGGTAATTATCGATGGACAATAAATAATAGCCTTGCCAGCAACACCCACATCCTGGGAAGGAAGAAATAAAAAAAAATTTACTACTTTTATGATCTGCTGTTGCTTAATATTCTATCAAAGATTTGGGCAATTGTACATTCATTAATAATAATTTTAATAAAGCAGAAATGTATTTGTATTCATTGTTGGAGTGTTAAATAACATGTTTTTCTTAGTAACATAAAATTATGAATTGTAATCATGAATTATAGCTTATTTTGGATCAGTAAATGATATTCTTTTTCATGGACTGAACAGAGCTGGTATAGATACAGATATTTCCTTTTCTATGACAAATATAGAGTTATAGGAGTTATATTAGCCACTCTTTAGCAGTTGGGTGTCTTTTAATCCAGAAACCTCGAAGACCAAATCTGAATAAGAGAGGACCACCATTTTTACAGAAGAGATTATCAAAGAAAGAAAATGCAGAGGAACCCAAAATCAATAAGGAAGAAAATGAAGCTCAAGTCATACCCAATGACCAGGAGGAGGAGAAAGATATTACGATCAGGTACTTGAATAATACCCTAGCACCACTCGTGTTTTATCAGTGTCCTTCAAGATGCACGTTCTTCATTTTCATAATCACAAGTCCAGCCACAGTGGAATGGCTGGATCACTACATGTGGATGTCTGTGCTGTCTGTAGAGCATTGAAAATATTGTTTCTTGTTTCTTTCCATTCTGTAAAACATGTTTTCTTTTTCTAGTTTTGATAAATATAAGCAATGGAAGTTGTCTTCTCATTAAAAGGTCTTTTTACATTGATCCCTTCTGATCTCAAATGGAATTCTTTCGTCTTTGCTGTTACTAAAGCTGCTTTCCAGAAGTTTGTTTTCTCTTTTGTGTAAAACACTTATTTTCACTTAATAACTCATGCATGTATTTATAAAGTCCAAGTTCTTCTGAAATCTGAACATGTAACACTTGGCTGTAGAACTGGGCATAATTTTAGATATACCCCACTGGTTTTTGAAAAATCTTGAAGCTATGAAGCAAAATTAAGTTTTTTAGGCTTGCCTTTACTTGCAACTTTTCGGATTAGATCCTTGATATTTGTTTCCCACCTCTCTTCTGTCCCCAGCCTGTTTGAAATGCCTGTGCTTTTTCTTCACTATAATCATTAATCAGCTGTTTTCTTTCCACTTCTATGTCTGTGGACTGAATTTTGCCAGAAACTGACTGTCAATTTCAGCGAATTTCATGGAGGGTTTCTCTCTATGAGCCTTAGTGAATTTTCCCATGCTGTTTTGTGCAGCTGGTCTCATTAGCTGTGCACCACCCTCTCCCGCATGAAACTACAGCTGCATTTACTTGCCGTACCCAACTCCTAAGCATCTGCAGATCCCTGAACGTAAACCCCCAGTACAACTACCTACCTTTCGCTCAGCAATGATAGAAGTACTCTCCACTGCTTGGAACTTTCGGAATTCCTGGTGCCGGTCCCATTTTTAAATTCCAGCCATGCACCAAGTCAAGCAAAATTAATTTATACCTTCTCCTGCAGGACAAGTTAAACTCTCAGCAAGGACATCGGTCCTGGCTCTGCATAGTCACAATCATTCCATCTTGTACAGTTTCCTCTTTCTTAGAACCTGCTCATACACAAGAATTTTAATGCTTTCTTCCTGCGCCACTTCTCCAACCATGCATTTGTCTTCATTTTCTTCATGTTTTAATACTCACTCATATACGGCGTTGGGAAGCAGAAGTGGGATTACGAGATTTGGGGTCTTGTTCCTAAATCTCTTTTGTGGGGTCTGAAAGGTTGCCTGAATTATCTCAACAGTTCCTGTATTTAAGTAATGCTTTTCAACATGGATCACCACTTCTGGCTGTTCCCTCAGGTGTCTTACCTGTTCTGTTTACTTTATCACCAAGGAAACAACATGCTTGTGGTTGCAGAAATGCCTATGTCCTTAACTAACAAATTCATTACGACTTCTCTACACTTTTTTTTCCCTGTGTGCATTCCAGCCATCCAGGCTACAGGGTGTTTGATGCCTGCTGCATCTTCAAAGGACTCATTACTCCTCAGCACTATCTGTATTTTCCTCCAGTAGTCACTTGCTTCCTCATCCCCTGGATGAATTGCAATGCTGCCAAATACTTAACAGTTTCCAAACCTTGGGAAACAGCAACTGGTGGCGCTCCCTAAGTACATCAATATCTAGGGCAAATGCTAATGCTGAGTTCCCACATAGACCAGTGAGGAACCATTGCATCCCGTTCTGCCATGGCAAATTCAGTGTCCTCTCAAATCGCTGAAATGCTGACCATGAAAACATTTAACACTGACTTTAAATAGGCCAGAGAAAGAATTATAGAACATGTTTTTTAATATTTGTTCATGGGTTGTGAGTGTTGCTGGTAGGGGATCAGCACTGGTTGCCCATCCCTCACTGTTTTCCCTGCAATTGAGTGTCTTCAGAGGGCAGTTAAGAGTCAATCACATTGCTGTGGTTCTGGAGTCACGTGAATATCAGACCAAAGAAGGACAGTAGATTTCCTTCCTAAAGGACGTTAGTGAAACCGGTTGGTTTTTATGGTAAGTGATATTTTCATGGTCACCACTCCTGAGACTCATTTTTAATTCCAGATTCAATTAATTGAATTTAAGTCCCAGGAGCAGCCAAAGTGGGATTTGAGCCCATCTCCCCAAACCTTAACCTTGGTCTCTGGATTATGAACGAATGATTTTATTGTCATGTGTATTTTACAGTTAGAAAAACAGTAAAATTCAAGATCGGTGCCATTTTGTGATTGCTATAATAAATTATTACAATAAAAGCAAAAATGCTACACATGCTGGAAATACAGGAAGTACTGGTGAAACTCAGCAGATCTGGCAGCAGCTGTGGAGAGAAGAAAAGTTAATGTTTCAAGTCTGATATGACTTCAGTTCTGAAGAGTCAAATCAGACTTAGAATGTTAACTCTGTTTCTCTCTCCAAAGATGCTGCCAGACGTGATAAAATTTCCTAGCATTTTTTATTTTCATTACTTCTGGATTACTAGTCCAGTGACATTGCTACTCCATCATGTTTTGCTAATCTGATTTTTAAAGACTGAGATGATAAAATAGTTAACTGAAAATACTGGAATTGGAATATTAGTATCGTAGCAATCCAAAACATACTTAAAATTGCCACCAGTTGAAGAATCAACGAAAAAACAATGAAAAAAACGTACAAATGATGTGTAGGCACCCAACAGGCCGCTCCCTCTGTGATTATGATGTTGGTTTGAAGTTTCTTTCCTTGACTCTGTTCAATTCTGACTGTGATCTCCTGCACTGTTTTTTCCTCAACCATGCTTTCTCTGCACTCGTACAGAAGCAACCTACCAATAAGCATCATGTCTTTACTTACAGCTGGCGTGGAATGAAGATTGAACCTGAGCAAGTTAATCCAGCTTTACCTGACACAAAAAAAGGGGAGCCTGTCCCTAATGAAACCATCAAAGAACCAGGTAGCATGACCATATTAAAAACGTGCATACTGGTTGTTAAAACCTTTCAGTCTAATGTCATTATAGTCTACAGAGTAATTAACTAACAATGAAGAACTGAAGAATTGAGGACAGGTAGATCAGTCTGAAAGATTGTGCCAAGGTTTAAACTTTTGGTTAGCTATACTTAATCACTGTGATGTAGCTAAAATTGGAGTAGATATCAAATTGAAGAATTTCAGAAACCTCGGGATTAATTTGGAATCTGAGGTACTTGAATTAGTGAAAAATTAAACAGTCTTGCCACCTGAGATATTGACCAGACAATGCCGTTTAGTTTATTATCTGGATTCTTGGAGTCTGTCAGTTTAGCAAGTTTGAAACCTGAATTTTATTTTGAGGTGTGCATTTGCTTATTTAAGTAATCATGTCTGAGGAGAGCGTTTAATTTTATGGGCAAAAATGTTTTTTTTTTGTAAAAAGACACAATTTTTCCTGAGCTGATCTCTTTCTGATTCTTAGAGATGTTCAACACTCGTATATTCTCTCACTATTGCAACACCAGAGTCATTGACTCACTGTATAGCAACATCATAGATTTGGTAGTGCTTTCCTTGGTTGGCCTTGTTAGGCTTTTTTTTCTATTTACTCAGTTTATATTCTAGAAAATGAACATTTAATATTCCTCGTTAGCTATTTTCTATCAAGTGGACTGTGCCTCGAACTGTTTCTGGTAAATAATCCTTTCCTACTGTGTTATCTGTGTTTGGACAATGCAGCAGTAGGTAGATAATTATCTGTTTGCTGTCTTGAACAGGAATAAAATTATTAATGTTATAATACCAGATTTCATATCTTGCATTATCAGTACTTAACTATTTTGAGTTGCAGATCAACCACCCACAGTGTCACTGGCTACTTCGAATATCTAGTTCCTTTGATATTCACCTGCAGAGACATTGATCTAACTGCTGCTTTTCAAAGGCAGCATATACTTTCAGCAGAGATAACAAGGTGCAGGGCTGGATGAACACAGCAGGCCAAGCAGCATCATAGGAGCAGAAAGGCTGACGTTTCGGGCCTAGACCCTTCATCAGAAATGGGGGAGGGGAAGGGGGTTCTGAAATAAATAGGGAGAGA